TATTTGGTGGAAATTTACTTAAATTAGGTAGGATGGCTTATATTAAACTAACTTTATTCAAATCTAGCTTTGGATATGTTAGGTCTGGATAAGTTAGGTTGTCTAGGGCAGGTTGCAATAGGTGAAAACTTGGCTAAAATGGGCTGTGACTGTGCTATGTCACAAAACATTTTTGGGTATATTTGTGGAAATTTTCTTAAATTAGGTTACATTTAGATGGGATAGTACAAATTTCACCAACTTTAATCAAATCTTGCTTTGGATATGCTAGGCCAGGTTAGGTGAGGTTGTTTAGGGTAGGATATCTTAGAGGGGGTAATGAACTAACATATTCAAATATTTTTGTAAATTTACCTATTTTAGGGCTTCTTGAGGTTATCTTGAGATGATTTAAGGGCTTTTAGTGTCCCCGCGGCCCGGTCCTCGACCAGGCCTCCACCCCCAGGAAGCAGCCCGTGACAGCTGACTAACTTCCAGGTACCTATTCACTGCTAGGTAACAAGGGCATTCAGGGTGAAAGAAACTTTGCCCATTTGTTTCTGCCTCGTGCTGGAATCGAACCCGCGCCACAGAATTACGAGTCCTGCGCGCTATCCACCAGGCTACGAGGCCCCCCTATAGGGCTCTTGCTATAGCTAATTTATGTATTGACAGAGGTGACATAGGCTTGTATGTGAGGATATGGGATGCTCATATTGAGTTAGTTTAGCTTTTTTCCAGCTTGAATTTGGTTAAATTTCAATATTATAAGTATAATTTTTGATTGATTTAGATGAATTTAGTTTTTAATTTTTTGCATTTTTGATAGGATATAGTAAATTTGCTTCAAATTATCATTGAATTTACTAACTTCACCTAACCTCGCCTGTCCCTAACCTCCCTAAGGCTAGAACTAATAAGTCTGTTTGAGGGTTTGTCTAAATAAATATGGGTGACATGATTGAAGAGGTTGTAACTAGGGGGGTATTAATAAGACATTAACAACAATGGACATATGCTAGATCAATAGTTTAGCGCTAATAATGTTGAAACATTTATGGTAAGTGTGTTTTTATATTGAGCTCATAGGACGTCAGACTTGCCATTCATTCATGTGAAAGTCTGACTTTTGGGGGGTTGGTTAAACTCGGCATATTATAAATGATGACCAAAACATACCTAGAAAAAATGTAATGCAAATTGTGTAGTGTTTTATTTAGTTGGTTGTGATTGTAACTGTGCAAATAGCACAATTATTATACTTGTGCAAGTTGTGTATTAATTGTGCAGATTCTGTATTTTGCATATTTTTTACTGTTTTTTTTACTGTTTTCATACAAATGACTGATAGTAGGTTTTCATTTTTATTAGCCCTATGCTAAATAAATGATCCTTGAAGAAAGATTGTCAAAGCTTAAATTACATTCTCTAGAAAGGCGAAAAAGAAGTAGGGGCGACATGATAGAGGTGAATGGAACATGACAAAGGGGGATATTAATAGCCTATTAAAAGCATCAACACGAGACATAACACGAAACAGTGGGTATCAGTTGGATAAGTTTTTAGATTTAGAAAAAAATGACCTGGGTAAATACTGGTTGGGTAACAGGGGTGAACGCTGCAATACATGATAGTTCATACTCTGTGTTGCTTTCCCCTTGCTACGTGCAAATGGTTGATGGTGGGTTTCATTCATTCTTATGACCAATAAACGATCCGTGGCCGGGCACTGAATATAATGCTTCCAGATAAGTAAGGGGGATAAATAGGGCCTTCTGAATATTAATGGAGTTACATAGTTGATGTGTATAAATGGAGAAGAAAGGGGGATATTAATTGGGAATAGACCTACTGTAGTTCATCTAATGACGTCAGTTGATGTTCTAGTTAACATAGATTGGAAGTAAATAGGAGATTTAAAATAGACTAGGAATGACGTTATTGTACATTCAGTTTCAGGGTCACTGGGGGGTAACGAAAGCACATGAGGCCATAGCGAAGCCGTTTAATCCCACTGGGGTAATGAAAACGCATGAGGCCATAACGATGTCGTTTAATACCACTAGCGTAACGAAAAAAACATGAGGCTGCAGTCAACCGGGGCAACGAAAAACAATTGAGGCCATCTCGCTGCAATTAAGGAGCTGAATGCTAAGCTTGCAATTAGGATAGCCAGAGATCCCCATTACAATGATATTGCTAAGAAAAAACTGATCTCTGTGCTACTTTCCGGGGGAAACAGGAGAAGCAAAAAATGGCATCACAGATCAGTCTGCTATCTCGAAGAGCTTCACCTGCTTTAGCAAGCCCGTGAGCTCCTGCCTGTAGAAAGGTTACCTCCCTGGAAGGATAACTCATGCAAGATTATCATCAATGAAATGGCAATGAAAAAATCCAACATGATAGCACAAGAAATGAGGCACAAGTATCTCGAGGAAATTTATAAAGAAGCCGGAGATGAACTAGATCAAATCTACACTGACGGGTCATCTAATCCTGTCAATGGAAGGGCTGGTGTAGCATACACGGTAATCAAGGATAATACTTTCCAACGCAGAAATGAAGAAAAAGCGCGTATTGAGAACTATGCCTCTTCAACGCAAGCAGAGCTAACTACGATTGTTATGGCGTTAAGGTTTCTTGAACGGAACACTAATGGTGCAGTGATTTGCACCGATTCAAAAGTAGCACTGCAAAGCCTAAGTAAAAATCGGGCAGAAAATCTTGCAATAGTCGCTGAAATTAAGAGAGCTGTGAGAGTACTTACCAATCAGGGAAGAGTCATCAAGTTTCTGTGGATTCTCTCCCATGTTGGAATATGTGGGAATGAACGAGCAGATGTGCTGGCTGCTGAAGAGGCTGAAGGAGACCATACTGAATACTTCATACCCAAGAGTCTACTACAAATTAGAGGTATTGTCAGGCAACATCACCGTGACAAGGTAACTGAGGAAAGGAGGATAGAAGCACAAACCAGTGAACCTGTACGATGGTACAACATGGTTGAAGCTGGCAATCCTAGTCATTATGGCCGAAGAGGAGGAGGACGAGGGAGAGAATCAGTAATAGCGAGAATCCGTCTTGGATACAAATATCCATGTAGATATGGAATGGAAACAACAGTTGATCAGCGAAGTTGTAGAATCTGTGGAGAGAGTGATGGACACCGCCTTGAAAACTATCTACGTGAATGTGAACACCTGAGAGAAATCAGAACTATGTGTAGAATAATAAACCAAACATTGTTTGAGTTAAGAAAACACTGTTTGTCAAATATTGATACTGTTCTTAAAAGATTCCCCCATTTTGCGCCCGCAAGATAACGTAAACTTTTAAGGGTTGATAGATGTTAATCTTCTTGTTTGAGGAGCTGTTCACTTGAGACAGTTAAGCAAGTCCCAGCTGTGTCTGAGTACAAGTGACAGGATGAACAACCCAGCGGGTTTTCTTCCTATTGGGGAGTGTTGTACATGCTGCTATGGCGGTATGTTCACTCACAAGATGAGTGGGGCTGCCCAATAAACTCGCCCCTCGGGGCAAAATTTAAAAATTAAAATTTTAAATCTCGCTGCAGCTCAAAAAAACAAAATTGCAGCGAGTAGGCCTACTTTCCACTACTCACACTGTCAGTACCACCGCCACCAGCTCCCCCCCATGTCAGTACCACCGTCACCAGCCCCTCACACTGCAAGTACCACCGTCATCAGCGCCCTACACTGTCGGTACCACCGTCACCAGCCCCCACACTGCCAGTACCACCGTCACCAGCCACCACACTGTCAGTACCACCATCACCAGCCCTCACACTGTCAGTACTACCATCACCAATCCCACACTGTCAGTACCACCGTCACCAGCCCCCATACTGCCAGTACCACCGTCACCAGCCCCCAAAACTGTCGGTACCACCGTCACCAGCCCCCACACTGCCAGTACCATCGTCACCTGCCCCCACACTGTCAGTACCACCGTCACCAGCCACCACACTGCCAGTACCACTATCACCAGCCCCACACTGTCAGTACCACCGTCACTAGCACCCCGCACTGCCAGTACCACGTCACCAGCACCCCACACTGCCAGTATCACCGTCACCAGCCCCCACACTGCCAGTACCAGCGTCACCAGCACCCACACGGCCAGTACCAGCGTCACCAGCCCCCACACTGCCAGTACCAGCGTCACCAGCCCCCACACTGCCAGTACCAGCGTCACCAGCCCCAACACTGCCAGTACCACCGTCACCAGCCCCCACACTGCCAGTACCATCGTCACCAGCACCCACACGGCCAGTACCAGCGTCACCAGCCCCCACACTGCCAGTACCACCGTCACCAGCACCCACACGGCCAGTACCAGCGTCACCAGCCCCCACACTGCCAGTACCACCGTCACCAGCCCCCACACTGCCAGTACCAGCGTCACCAGCCCTAACACTGCCAGTACCACCGTCACCAGCCCCCACACTGCCAGTACCAGCGTTACCAGCCCCAACACTGCCAGTACCACCGTCACCAGCCCGAACACTGCCAGTACCACCGTCACCAGCCCCAACACTGCCAGTACCACCGTCACCAGCCCCCACATTGCCACAATCTCCTTTACAAGTCTCAACCATCATATCTTTTGCAATTCTTTCATGCTGGAGTTAGTGTGAGTCCCAGAAGGGAAGGGAATTATGAGGAAAAGCGCCAAGCCATATTTACTATATAAATCACTTGAAATGGATCAGGATAAGAATTTGGCATGAGACGGATGGAAAGTATGGTCACCAACCACTTTGACTGTCGGGGATTTAATGCAGACCTACTTGAAGTGAGACCGTCGCTTTACCGTCCAGCCGAAGTGGTTGGGCCACAAGATAACCAAGGGGGAATGTACAAGTTGGAATATATGAGAAAATATTAAATCATCGAATCAAACCATTTGTTGATACAGCGTTCAGCCAATCAATAGCCGAGATTTGTCGGCGCTTTGCTATAAAAACCAGCGACACTGCCTCGCGAGTCACACTTCTCCGTGAATCCTCGTCGAGACAGCACATCCTTACAGCAGTTCATCTTGCCTAGAGTAAGCCAACTTCTTCCATTTTATAACACATGTTAATATTTCACTAAGTGCGGATTAAAATTGCTCATGAACCTGGGGCGCCCCTGAAGGGACGACATGAGATGGGAAGATCACTACTGCACCATTGAAGGTGTCGAGGCTGTGATTAGATTAATCATCAGCGTTTACACTCCTTGTTTAGTGAAGACCGTGTGTAGTGAGCCTTCTGTAGTACACATGTAGTAATGGTCCTGTAGGTCGAAAGTCTTTGAAGAGAATGTTATTTGTTTCTAATAGTGAGATCATCACAAGTATTTGATACAGGGAAAGTCTTTTCTAGTCGTGTGTAGTGAGGGTCGTGTGTAGTGAGGGTCGTGTGTAGTGAGGGTCGTGTGTAGTGAGGGTCGTGTGTAGTGAGGGTCGTGTGTAGTGAGGGTCGTGTGTAGTGAGGGTCATGTGTAGTGAGGGTCATGTGTAGTGAGGGTCGTGTGTAGTGAGGGTCGTGTGTAGTGAGGGTCGTGTGTAGTGAGGGTCGTGTGTAGTGAGGGTCGTGTGTAATGAGGGTCGTGTGTAATGAGGGTCGTGTGTAGTGAAGGTCGTATGTAGTGAAGGTCGTATGTAGTGAGGGTCGTGTGTAGTGAGGGTCGTGTGTAATGAGGGTCGTGTGTAATGAGGGTCGTGTGTAGTGAAGGTCGTATGTAGTGAGGGTCGTGTGTAATGAGGGTCATGTGTAGTGAGGGTCATGTGTAGTGAGGGTCGTGTGTAGTGAGGGTCGTGTGTAGTGAGGGTCGTGTGTAGTGAGGGTCGTGTGTAGTGAGGGTCGTGTGTAGTGAGGGTCGTGTGTAGTGAGGGTCGTGTGTAGTGAGGGTCATGTGTAGTGAGGGTCGTGTGTAGTGAGGGTCGTGTGTAGTGAGGGTCGTGTGTAATGAGGGTCGTGTGTAATGAGGGTCGTGTGTAGTGAAGGTCGTATGTAGTGAAGGTCGTATGTAGTGAGGGTCGTGTGTAGTGAGGGTCGTGTGTAATGAGGGTCGTGTGTAATGAGGGTCGTGTGTAGTGAAGGTCGTATGTAGTGAAGGTCGTATGTAGTGAGGGTCGTGTGTAGTGAGGGTCATGTGTAGTGAGGGTCGTGTGTAGTGAGGGTCATGTGTAGTGAGGGTCGTGTGTAGTGAGGGTCGTGTGTAGTGAGGGTCGTGTGTAGTGAGGGTCGTGTGTAGTGAGGGTCGTGTGTAGTGAGGGTCATGTGTAGTGAGGGTCGTGTGTAGTGAAGGTCGTATGTAGTGAGGGTCGTGAGTAGTGAGGGTCGTGTGTAATGAGGGTCGTGTGTAATGAGGGTCGTGTGTAGTGAAGGTCGTATGTAGTGAAGGTCGTATGTAGTGAGGGTCGTGTGTAGTGAGGGTCGTGTGTAATGAGGGTCGTGTGTAATGAGGGTCGTATGTAGTGAGGGTCGTGTGTAATGAGGGTCGTATGTAGTGAGTGTGGTGTGTAGCTTGCGGGGGTTGAGTTCTGGCTCATAGATCCCGCCTCTCAACCGTCAATCAACAGGTATACAAGTTCTAGAGCCTATTGGGCTCTATCATATCTACACTTGAAACTGTATGGAGTCAACCTCTACCACATCACTGCCTAATGCATTCCATTTGTCAACCACTCTGACACTAAAAAAGTTCTTTCTAATATCTCAGTGGCTCATTTGGGCACTCAGTTTCCACCTGTGTCCCCTGGTGAGTGTGCCCCTTGTGTTAAATAGCCTGTCTTTATCTACCCTATGAATTCCCTTGAGAATCTTGAATGTGGTGATCATGTCCCCCTTAACTCTTCTGTCTTCCAGGAAAGTGAGGTTTAATTCATGTAGTCTCTCCTCGTAGCTCATACCTCTGATCTCGGGTACTAGTCTGGTGGCAAACCTTTGAACCTTTACCAGTTTAGTCTTATCCTTGACTAGATATGGACTCCATGCTGGGGCTACATACTCCAGGATTGGCCTGACATATATGGTATACAAAGTTCTGAACGATTCCTTACACATGTTTCTGAATTCCGTTCTTATGTTGGCCAGCCTGGCATATGCCGCTGATGTTATCCTCTTGATATAGGCAGCAGGGGACAGGTCTGGCGTGATGTCAACCCCCAAGTCTTTTTCTCTCTCTCATTCTTGAAGAATTTCATCTCCCAGATGATACCTAGTATCTCTCCTCCTGCTCCCTACACCTATCTTCATTTTATTGCATTTGCTTGGGTTAAACTCTATCAACCATTTGTTCGACCATTCCTTCAGCTTGTCTAGGTCTTGTTGAAGCCTCAAGCAGTCCTCCTCTGTCTTAATTCTTCTCATAATTTTGGCATCGTCAGGAAACATCGAGAGAAATGAATCTATACCCCCTGGGAGACCATTTACACATATAAGAAACAAGATAGGACCGAGTACAGAGCCCTGTGGGACTCCACTGGTGACTTCACACCAATCCGGGGTCTCACCCCTCACCGTAACTCTCTGCTTTCTATTACTTAGGTACTCCCTTATCCACTGGAGCACCTTACCAGCTACACCTGCCTGTCTCTCCAGCTTATGTACCAGCCTCTTATGCGGCACTGTGTCAAAGGCTTTCCGACATTCCAAGAAAATGCAGTCCGCCTAGCCTTCTCTTTCTTGCTTAATCTTTGTCACCTGGTCGTAGAATTCTATTAAGCCAGTCAGGCAAGGTTTACCCTCCCTGAACCTTTGTTTGCGATTTGTCACGAAGTCTCTTCTCTCCAGATGTGTTACTAGGTTTTTTCTCACAATCTTCTCCATCACCTTGCATGGTATACAAGTTAAGGACACTGGCCTGTAGTTCAGTGCCTCTTGTCTGTCACCCTTTTTGTATATTGGTACTACATTAGCAGTCTTCCATATTTCTGGTAGGTTTCCCGTTTCCAGTGACCTACTATACACTATGGAGAGTGGCAAGCAAAGTGCTCCTGCACACTCTTTCAATACCCATGGTGAGATTCCGTCCGGCCCAACAGCTTTTCTCACATCCAGCTCCAATAGGCGCATCTTGACCTCATCTCTTGTAATTTCGAACCTTTCCAAGGTCACCTGGTTTGCTGCCACATCTCCTAGCGCCGTTACATCTCCCTGTTCTATTGTAAAGACCTCCTGGAACCTTTTGTTGAGTTCTTCACACACCTCTTTGTCATTCTCTGTGTACCTTTCCTCGCCCACCCTAAGGTTTGTAGTAGCTTTGGTTCGGCCTTGGCTTTATTAGCTATATCATTTTCATACCTTTTCTCAGCTGCTCTTCTCACACTAACATACTCGTTCCTGGTTCTCTGGTATCTCTCTCTACTTTCTGGTGTTCTGTTATTACGGAAGTTCCTCCATGCCCTTTTGTTCAGCTCCTTTGTTTTCATACAATTCCTATTAAACCACGGATTTTTCCTTTGCTTCTTTGTTTTTTCCTGTCGGACTGTTACAAACCTGCTTACAGCCTCCTGACATTTTTGGGTGACATAGTCCATCATGTCTTGTACGGACTTGGTTTCGAGTTCTGTGTCCCAATGTATATCCCATAGGAATTTATTCATCTCCTCATAGTTTCCCTTTCGGTACGCCAACCCTTTGTTTCCCAGTTCTTTGTTGGAGTGATAATTCCTAGCTCAACCAGGTACTCAAAGCTCAATACAATATGATCACTCATTCCCAAGGGGGCTTCCAACTTAACTTCCCTTATATCCGACTCATTTAGGGTAAATATCAGATCAAGCAAGGCTGGTTCATCCCCTCCTCTCATTCTTTCAGTCCCTTGACGTGTTGACTTTAAAAGTTTCTTGTTGCCACATCCAGCAACTTAGCTCTCCATGTGTCTGGGCCTCCATGTGGGTCTCTGTTCCCCCAATCTATCTTCCCATGGTTGAAGTTTCCCATGATTAGTAGTCTGGATCCGTTCCTGCTAGCCACAGAAGCTGCTTTCTCCATTATATTGATGGTGGCCAAGTTGTTTCTATCATATTCCTGTCTGGGTCTTCTGTCATTCGATGGGGAGTTATATATGACTACTACTATAATTTTCTGTCTTCTAGTTGCTATGGTGCCTGATATGTAGTCATTGAAACCTTCACTGTTCTGAATTACCATCTCTTTGAGACTCCAGCCTTCTCTTACTAGCAAAGCTACACCACCTCCTCTTCTCCCTTCTCTCTCTTTCCTCACTACATAGTAGCCCTGTGGAAACACTGCGTTTGTTATAGTTTTCGTTAGTTTTGTTTCTGTGAGTTCTATTATGTCTGGGTTTTCTTCTAGTGCCCATTCTCCGAGTTCACTTGTTTTATTTGTAATCCCATCTATGTTAGTGTACATTGCCTTGAAGCTCACTTCTGATCATTTTCTTGTCACTTTCTTGGCAAGCATTCTGCTTGTGTGGGAAGCTGTTCCGTGGGTGAGAAGATCTGTGAGGTGGTTTGCAGGGTCTCAGAGGATTTTGGGGTGGGGGGTGGGGGTTTAAGGGAAGGGGGAACAGGTAGGGTGTGGGTTAAGGAGATAGGGGGGACATGGAGGATACTGGGTGAGGGGGGAGGTGGAATAGGTAGGGTATGGGATGAAGGGGGAGGGGAAACAGGGGGGGAAAGGTGGGAGGGGGGACATGACGGGAATGGGGAAGGGGTGACAGGGTCAGAATGGGGTGGTTTTGGGTGGGGGCAGGTAGGGTGAGGGGAAGGGAGGGTTTCTATGCAGAGGGGGGTGGTGGTGTTGCCCTCCCCTCTGGTGTGGCTGGGATGCTCGTCTTGGGTTCCCCTCTTGTCTCTGGGACTGTTATGATGGAGGCTGTGATTTCCTGGTTTGCTCCTCTCTCCCTACGCTTCCTCCTTGCCTCTGCTGCCCTGGCTCTCACCTCCTTCGTCCTGTCCCTCTGCAGGAATACTTTTTTGTATCCCTCCACATGCTGCAGACAACTCTTTCTTTCGAGAATATCCTCCTTCGTGGTTTCGTTTGTAAACACCACCTTCACAAATCGGTTTCTGTCCTTGTTGTACCAGCCCAA